GGAGGAGAAGAAGAAGAAGGAGGAGGAGGAGGAGGAGAAGGTGGTTAAAAGCTGATAGGATGAAATTAAATAAAAATAAAAACAAAAACAAAAACAAAATTGGTCTCTGAAAATTTTATCTGTTATGTAAAGGGTTTGGACCTGTATGAACTCTTCTCTTCTCATCATCAAACCCAGCTTCTTCATCATCATCATCATCTCCATCTCCATCTCCATCTCCTTCTCCATCTCCATTTTGGTATCCTCTAAACAAACCCTTCGAATCAACAGGCTTAAACTCAGCAGACCCAGAAGCACTTTTTAAGCTGCTTTTTCTATGAGACCCAGAAGCACTTTTTAGGCTGCTTTTTCTATGAGACCCAGAAGCAGAACATGAAGAAATTCTTGCCAAAAGTAGCACAATGATAATAAGGACAGAGAATAGTAAGCAGCAGCTTAACTTTTTTCTTGGTGATGCCATCTGTTTGATGATCAGTGTTCCGTATGTATAGCTTACAACACAGTCTGTGCATGGAGTCTTGAGAGTTTCTTCCTAGCCCAGAACCCTAAAAGATCAAGAAACCCATCAAGAAACTCCCTCTTACCATTCCATCAGATTACTGCAACAGATGATAAACAAAGCACTGATGAAACAAACAAGCTTCTTCTCCACTAATAAGCAAACACTGGCTTTTATAATAGAATACTGCTTAGAAACTTCTGAGAATTTTTTTCTCCTGAATCTCTTAGTTGTTAGTGCACCATAGATAACTCGTCTTTGACCCAATTAAAAAAGAGATTCAAACTCTACTAATAACCCAAGAATACTCAACTGCTAACTCAAAACAAGAAAGAAAGAAAGGAAAAAAAAAAAGAAAAAGTGTGTTGTCTTCTTTTTGCTGGACTTATTGAAGGGTGGTTTGCTTTTTCTGTGAAGGGTAATTAAGTTGGAGTTAAGTTGAGGTATGAAAAAAAGGAGAGTGAATGAGGAGTGAGAGGGAAGATGCATAGGGTTTGGTGTCTGCAGAATTGTAATAAATTTGGTGCAGAGAGTGTTTTGGTTTTGATTCAAGAGCCCAAAACTTTCTAACTCGCAAAAATCTCTTATTTGGAATTCAAGTCTCTTTTCAAGTTCCTCCAGAGAAAGAGAGAGAAAGTAAATTTTCAAACTGGGTTTGGTGGAGAAATTATGGGTAAATTATAAAAAAAAAAAAATCTCTTTTTTAATTTTAAATATGATTAATTAATCTCTTAACCCTATAAAATTAATTCCATGTTAAAAAAGTTATGAACATAAAATTTAATGAATCAACAATATAAATTTATATATTAAATTTAATTTTTTTCATAAGTCTCTTCGATCTCGTAATAAATAATTTAAACGAAATAAAATTTTGTTTTTAATACGTAAAAATTAGTCTAATTTTTAGAGTATATTTTAATTTACTATAACATAATAAATAATTTAATGTGATTAAATAAAAATTAAAAAGTGAATCACCTCAATAATTTCTTGAGTAGGTGAGGGTGAGAGAGATATGGAGAGTTGCTAAAATCATTTCTTGACTTTAGAATTGTGGGAGGGGGTGTGTTGTGGAAGACTGTTTTTTTTGTAGATGATGACCATGTTGGCAAAAAAGTGATTTCCTTTACATATATATATATATATATGTATGTATATATATTGTATATGTATGTATTTGTGTGCATAATAGAAATAAATTGGTGTAGAGGGCGACAAAGCCCATGTTTTCAGCTTCAAAGAAAAACCCTGCCTTTGACTATAATGTACAAAAGAGAAAGGACTTTTTGTTGACTTTCTTTTGATAATCCTCTCAAACAGAGACAGATATATATATATATATATATATATATATAAACACAGAGAGAGAAAGAGAGAGAGAGAGACCAAAATCCTGTAATACCCATTTACTTAATTTCAGCCATGTTTACAGCTTAATTATATTTTGTAAAAAATTTAAAAAATTATATCCAACTTTTAATATATATTATGACTTCATCGATTAACAAAACCTAATCTAATTTAATATATTAATGACTTAAGTATTTAATTTTACTAAATAAAATATTATACATGAGTCGCTGCTATCTTATAATAAATTTATAAATTAGTAAAATTTATAGACTCAATAAAATTTAAATTTTTAATTTTAAAAAAAAATATAAAGTTTTTAGTCACTGAATTATTACATTGTCGGTAAGTACAGTTCTATTTAAATTTTTATTATTATTATTTTTTTGACATAACTTATAAAAAAATTATTAAAACGAGATAATTTTGAATTTTTTCATTTTATGTAAAATTGTGTGCAATAGTATAATCATATACGGATAATAAAAATAAAATAAATTTAAAATAACATAAACGAACAAATTGATTAAAACTCGAGCTAATATTTTTTTTTCTTTTGTAAATAGTTACGTACGCAAATATTTTAAAATAAAAATCAACTTAAGTAGGACAATAAATACCTTTTACTCTTCAAGTTTACTTCTTACACTAATGTGTGACAAAATTATTATACCAACAAAAGCTTCATAATGGAAACTACAAATTATTATTAAAATAAATTTAAATCTAAAGCTTTTTATTTAGAAGAAAACAAAATTAGTAGTTGAAAATCACTAATTATAACATATATAATCAATCTCTAGTTATATATAAAGAGAGAGATGAGCATCTTAATTTTAACTAAAGATAGTAACAAGGTGAGTTCAATACGAATTTTATTAAAATCTAACTCAGACCCTCCTATATGAAAAGTAAACTCAAACTCGATACAGTTAGAATTTTTTTTATATATTTTATAATCACGTTAGGTTTATAAGTTATCTGACTAAATTTGACTCAGTTAATTTATTATATCAATATAAATAGAATTGTTTTATCAATATAACATATTTTCTTAATTTATATAAACGTAAAACTCAAACTCACTCTGACCACTTCTCTTCTCCGACCGACCCAAACGTAACTTAACCCTAACTCACATTTTAACCAAATAAAAAAGGTTGTACCATATTGAATGTAAGCGAATCAGATTAAATAGATCAAAGTATTAGTTTTACCAAAGTAGCTTCACACACATAAAGTGCTCATCTAATACTTTTACTTGCCACTATGATTGGATTTTTTTCCCTTTCACAAGTAATAATGTTTTTGAAAGGAGTATGAACAAATTTTTAATTTTAACATACACAAAGACATACATATAAACATATATATATATATATATGAATATATCTTTCTAGAGAAAAAAAAAAAAAAAAGACAAAAAGAAAAGCATAACCCACAAATTAATCAAATCAAAATAGCTAAAATCATAGAGGGAATAAAGGTTTGAGATTTGGATTTTTACAACACAAGTTTAATCAAACTTGAAATCAATTTCAAAAATAGTCTAAGCATAAATGAATTGAGAGGTGGACCATTTGGGTGGTGGTAGAAAAAAGTCATCAACACTTGGGTTGATCTTTTTGAAAGAAACATGATGCTGTCTTCATTCACTTTTTTTTTCTTCCTTTCTTAATCTTAATCTCTTAAACAATCAAGTATTTGATTGCTAATAATAATAAAATAAAATAAAAATTATAAGATAATTAAGAGAATTATCAAAGTATAGAATTAAGATTGTGCCAGTTAAGTTATATAAAAAAAGATATATGTATACACATACATATAACTTTTGGAAAAGTATTCAAAATTTTTTGGACCATTTACTTTGTGAATGATATAATTATAATCACAAGCAACTGCACTGCGAGCACATGGAAGTCATGGTTTACTACCCTAAATTTTGGCATCTCCTAAAAGAAAGGTCCACAGAGAGACTGCATCAGAAATCTTCATTCAAAAGATTTCTCCACTTCAATTTCTTATAAAAGTTTGCTTTTAACCAAT